GGATCGAGTACTGATTGTATAAGTGAGGAATTTTGAGTAGCAAAGAGAATCAAGATGGATCCGCATACTAGACCATACAAGCTTCAATGGTTGAGTGAAGAGATGGTTGTGGATGTCACTAAGAAAGTCATGGTATCTTTTCAAGTTGGTGAGTATAGGGATGAGATTTACTTTGATGTAATTCCTATGTCTCTTTGTGATATTTTGCTAGGTAGGCCTTGGCCATCAGATGAAGATGATGTGCACCATTGCTCGAAGAATATCTTTGTCTTTACTAAAGAGGACAGAAAATATATTCTTAAGCCTTTGGCTTATGAAGAAGTTGAATCTGTGCGAGAGAAAAGACGTAAGATAACCTATACACAAGGGAGAGAAAAAGTCGAGAGAGTGACGCAAGAAAGGGTCACACTGAGGTAAGATTTGAGGTGAGAGAAAACCTTGAAAATAGCGTGGAAACAAAAAAAATACACCCAATGAGAGAAAATTAGAGTGTGGTGAGGGTGAGGATTTTACTAACCCTTATATCTCGTTTGTTCCTTGTACAGGTTTAGAAGTTGATGATTCGAGGACGAATCCTCTTAAAGAAGGAGGGGATGATGAGAATCATATAGCCATCCATGGTGATTCTCCAAGTGAGGTGAATGAGCTAGTCATTCATTCTAGTTTTTGAATGCCAAGTTTACTTTACAGGCCAATCAAGGAAGAAAGGATGGATCTTGACTACCGGTGTGTTAGGGAGTTGGTTCAAGAGAGCTATGATCAAGGTGATGAGAATGTCATTAACTTTGGGGTTCAAACCGAAGGAGATGATTCACTCATGGAAATAAGTGCTCAAGAGTATCAAAGGAGTTTGACTCTAGGTGCTCCATGAAGATCATTGATCAAGCTAGAGAAAAGAATCATTTAGGTTCATGGATGGACGGCCTATTTGATCAAAGTGTTCCAGATTGAGTCCATTTCTACACAATTGGATAGGTTGCAAAGTATCTCAATTGTTTCAAGTGTTTTTCCAATCTTTTGGAGTCAATAAAGAGAATTCTACAAGTTGGAGTAAATTGGAGTTATTTACAACTCGAGGGGCGCAAGACCAATATTCCACTTTTGAAAGGGCGCTCAAGACATTTTACTTTAATATATGGAGCTGATTTTCAGATTTAAAGAGTATTATCTAGTCTAGGAGTTTATTTTCAGATTTATCCAGTTAAATAAGTCATGTGGACTGAATTAAACTAGAGTGTTTTGATTAGGAGTCTTAGATTCCTTCTAAGTATTATCCTATTTGAGGATAAGTCATTTAGATAAGGTTTCCTAGATTTTAGATAGAGTCAAAGAGATCAAATACTCTTCTACTTTTGCTCCTGCGTGAGATAAAATTAGAGAGTCCTAGTTGGTCTTCTTTTTTGGTGCTTGGCCGAAATTCATAGCCTATAAATAGGTGAGGATGGCTGAAAGTTAAAGCACCCATATGTGGTCATTTTGAGTCTTCTTTAATGAGAGTTTTTCCTGTGAGGAATTTTTGTTAAATGGTGTGTCCATTTTTCGTGTCAAGTATGATTTAACCAAAAGGGTTTTCATATTGTCTTGGATCTTTTGATCTTGTAGAAATCGTTCTTTTTCAAGTATGCTTCTTGATAGAATTATTTTAAAACTAAACTTTTTATTTTCATACTACTTCTAGTACTTCGATTGATGAGCCTTTCTTTTGGCTTGGTTTTCGAGTTCATGATGAGTGTGTTCATGAGTTCCATTGTGGGGTTTGTCCTACTTTTGTTGGATAAGTTGTGCTTTGGCATAAGCATTTTGAGATAGTGTATGTGTTGCATATCTTTGTTGGTTATGGAGATTACTAATCAATAGTATTCCTTCATAGTTGAGCATTGATTGCTCCTACCTTTCTTGAGTCTCTTGAATGATGGCTGATCGAGTATATTGAATGGTGTCCTTACTATTCTTAGTGTGGGTTGTTGTTTAATACGAATCTTTCATAGATAATGTGTCCTTTTCTTCTTTGAGTTAAGAGATAGAAATCCTTAGATAAATGATTGTCTTACTGTGAATTTTCCGCACTCTTTTGAGTTTCACGGGATAGACAAATTATCTTCGTGCTTTCTTGTTTGATGGTTGCATTAACGAAATTTGCTTCATCTATGAGATTGCTGTCACCCATCTTCTTAATAAATGGTATACAACAACATCAAATGCCCTCACAGGTACTAATCAAGCAACTCCGATGTCTCAAGATCTCCTATACGAAGATTCACATTTGCATTTTGAGTAATGCTCAATTCCATTCCACCATCTAACCAACGTAGCTTATAAGGTTCATATAAGTCACACACTTCCAAGTGATTAACCCTTACAAACTTCTCACTTATGCAAATGACACTACTACCCCCATCAATAGCAACAATCAAATTATCTACCTATTCTATCGCACCCAAAGTCCAAAGACATGATCAATGTTTGATTCTACACTATGCTGAGTGTAATGCAATGCAACACCTTGTTCCCTCAAGGATTCTCTAACCTTTTTCAAAATAGCCCTATTCCTTTGCCCTCCAATAAGGCAGACTTACGAAAAGCACAATATAAATCACTTTCATCAATGATAGATGTTTCATGCTTATATCAAGAATTCAAGCTATTCAAAAATCTCACGATTAACACTTCATTTAAGTCACGATTATCACTACTCAAGCATAACTCTTCAAACTTAGCAATATAAGACTCGACATCCATGTCCACTTGTTCCAAATCATACAATTCACTTTGATAGTCACAAGCAACCTCATAACTATAAAACCTATTGTACAATGCATCCTTAAGTACTTGCCATGTATGCACACTACCATTGTCACGCAAGTAAAGCATACACTAGTCTTAGCAATATTCTTCAACCATAGATGGCAATTGAGACTTCACTACTATGTTTAGTTATGTCTAGCAGTTCGAACAAATTCTCAAGAGAAACAATCCACGATTCCACCCCCTCGCAAATCCAACCATAGAAAGTTGGAATTTCAAGTTTCAACTTACCAATACAAGTAGAACCATTCATTGCATCCACACAATAATTTGCGTCAGTTAACCTTTGAATCAAATCTTGTTGCAAAGATTCAATTTTGTTAAAGATGGCAACCTTATTGCCTTCATACTGTTGATGAAGCCCACCAATGTCACTCTCTATAAGACGAAATTTGTCAATAAACTTATCAATAAAAGCACGAACAAACTCATAATCATTATTGAGGCTATTCTCTTCAAGCTCTTTCACAATCTCTTCCAATTGTTGCAATTTCTCTTCAACTCCACGGCAAGGACGACACATCTTTGTAGCAAGTTCTTCAGTCATGATGATGAGTAAATAATCACCTTAAACTAGAAAAACTCCCTTAAATTTCTTTGATGAAAATCCGAGAACCCCCCCTCCCTTTGAATCAAAGGAAGATTCGACAATGACACTCCCCAAACTAACTAACAAGAACTCTCTATACCTTTTAAGAGGTGATCTCTCAAAAGAAATAGAAGAAAAGAGAAGGTTTAGTTACTCCTTCAATCTCAAGACCTTATGCAAGCTTTAGCTCAAAGATCAAAAAGAAATTTTGCAAGTTGGGATGTATGAAAATCTCGGCCAAATCACCCCTTATATAGGCATGAGATGTCTTTTCCTACAAGGGCTTTCCAATTAAAAATAGGTTTAGTTTTTGAGGAAATTCTCCGATTTTAATTAATTAAAATTTCCCAATTAATAAACCCCTAAATAATTTCAAAGTTTTCACCCGAAAATTACACATATATATGGCGAAAAACATTTAAAAACAACAAATTTAATTAAATATTTTACTTAATTCATAAGACACTAAATTTTAGAAAACTTTTTTAAAAAGAAAAACCCTAATTTTCTAATTCTTTTTAGCCAAAAAAGACACAAATAAACAATTAATATACCTTAATAATTTTTAGGATACTCCTTTAATTCCCCTCCTATTATATAGGTAATTAACAAATAAAACCTTTTTCCTTTTAGCAATTTTCCAAAAAGAAAACACGGCACACACACATATTCACACATAAGCAAAAATTTCTTTTCCCACTCAAAATAGGAATTAAAATTTCGGCCAACCACACAATTGCAAATTCTCAAAATTATTCAATTAAAATCAAGGCCAAAAATTTTTAGTTAAATAATAAAAACCCTCTTTCAATCATGTAATTGAAACTCAAAAATATTAATCATGCATTCAAGCAAATTTATTTCATCTACCAAGTTCAAGAAACTCAACAAATGAAAACGACACAAAACACATAGACTCAAAAGATCTAAAGCCTAATTTTCGAAAATACTTTGTTTAAAAAACTTAAAACAATATAAATTAGATACTTTTAACACAAGCAATCTCCAAAGTACGTCATGGAAACTCTTATACGTGTATACCCTAGAATATAAACTCTAAAACTCATATCTCATTCATATGACTCAACAAGAATTAAAACACATAGTCACTTAAAGGATAAACTCCTGGAAAACCAAATTCCAAACTAATGAGAAATCTAATCTCTACATATATACTTTCAAACCATACAAAGTGAAATTTTCAAATTTATAATGTGCATTGATTTCTTACCCTGTAATGTAATATTTTACAGGCTTCTAGTGTTGTTGTTTTTTCAAAGATATCTGGATTGGCAAAAGAGTATGACTGGCCATACATAGGTTGTAGCAACTGTTAACAGTAAGGTTGTTGAGATAGAATCATCTGCAAAGGAAAACCTCACTGGGGGGAATAAAAGGTCGGCCTTTGGCAAAGGTAGAAAGGTAGATAATGAAAAGCCAGTTGGAGTAGCAAAGAAATGGATGTGCACAAACCATGGGCCTGTTTCTGCTGTCGCTGCAAAGTAAAACAATTTTAGTCACGTTATATAGTTTATAATGTTTTTCATACTAAAGGTTTACATTATCTATCGTTGTTATTTTGTAAAATCTGTAACTGCTGCACCAAATGGTGTATTTAGTTGATGGTTCAGGTAGCAGAATTGGTACTCTATGGGACAGAATGGTGTACAACTTCATAAACAAGACCGCTTCTGTGCTACGTGAAGAGGTACAAATTAAATACCATTACAGCACTCATTGTTTCTATGCAACTGTAATTGTTGCAAACCTTTCAAGTTATTGATTATTATCTGCTATTAATTTTGTAATGCTATAACAGTATCCCAAAGGTTACCCTGACATTCTAGATGAGATTGTGGGGAAAAAGTGTCTGTTCCGGCTAGATGTCTCACACTATAACATTAGAAACAACACCAGTGAGATATCAGTTGCAAGGGTTACAACAGATACAGACGTTATAAGGAAGTACCTTGTTGCTGTTTCAGATGATCAGGTTTTAAAAATAACATCTATTTGTGTAAATCATTATAACTGTTGCTATTGTTTACCAGTCACATTATTTCATACATTTTCCAGGAAATAGATCCTGAGCTAAGTGTCGAGTTCTGCCACAATTTAACCCCATTATCTGAGAGCACTGCTAAGGTATTTAATAAGTGTTTATGTAATGTACAAAGAAAACATACATATTACTGTAAGTAAAAAAGTTTGTTGACTTACTATTCCTTATATTTACAGTCTGCAGTTTCGTGCACTGATGATACTGATATGGGAGCTCCTGGAGATGAAACGGGTGACAGTCCTCCACCGAAGAAGAATGCATCTGCACAATGTGGCGAAGAAAGTGTCAAGTCCCACCCCAACAAGCGTGTCAGGAAACTTTAATCAGAATGAACAATTACCAAGAATTTTATATCTTAATAAAGGATGCATCTTTTAAACAATTTATTTCCCTTTACATAATTTAGTTTTCGTAGGGAATTTTATATCCGTCTTTCAGAATTGTGGTTTCAAACTTATTTGTTTATGTTTCAGAATATTATGCCGTCTGATATGGCGATTTCAATATTTGCATTATTGAGCTTGAGAATATTTGTATCCATTTTACATTTCTTATACTTTTTATGTTCCTTATAACAATAAATCATTACGTGCATATTTGCTTTTACTTCCTAATAAAAATGTAGGTTTCTGAAGTTGATGGATCAGGCTGCAGTACTGGTAAACTATGGGTATACATGCACTAGTAAGGAACATTTTATTTATATAATGTACATATAAATTGATGGTTTACTTGCAAGTAAACACATTTTATGACTTACTATTCTTTATTTACAGATTTCACTTTTGTGCTCTGCCTGTTCTGATATGGGACTTCCTGGAGATGAAACAGATCACATTGCTCCACTGAAAAGTTTATCATTTCCTCAAATTAGTGAATAAGTGTCAATTTCAACTCCAACAAGAGTCTCATGAATACACGCTGCAAGTTTTTGTATCTTTGTATTAAAGGATGGATCTATTCATTAATAGCAGATTCATGATTACAAATGTTTAGTTTGCTGCTTACTTTTTCAGCCATTTGATAATAGTTTATTTGTTACATAAAAGCATCACAATTAACTCTGAATTTAGTAAGAAATTGGGGGGTATTTTCTATTATTAGTGCATTCTACTTAACTAGTTTTCATATTTTTGTTAGGTTGGGGTTTGACTGCAAATTTGCTGAAAAAGTGAGGTCAAGGGAATAAATTGTGGGTTGCTGAGCTGGACGAAGAAGCACCTCCTTAGACAAGAAGCATCTTGCCATGAGTATGTCTCCTCCATGAGGCATGCTTGTCCCCTAGCCGAAATTTTAGCCTCCCCTGCTGATTAATGAGAGCAATGCTGCCACTTCTGGAAGAAGAGAAGAAGAACAACCAAGTTTGGATTCCAGGCTCAAGGCATTAGGAGGATTAAACAAATTACAAGCATGGGATGACTCTAATGATGAAAGAACCGGCTGCAAGACCCTATAAAAGGGGAAACTTCACTCTCAGAAAGAGGAGAGGAATCTTTTTTGTTACCCTTTCAGTTGCAAAACATACACAGAAAAACTCCAGGTAGAAGGCAAGAAGGAAGAAGAAGCAACAACAACTCAGTAAGGAAGCCAAGTTGGAGAATAGCCATCCCAGTTTCTGCTTCACTTCCATGAGTGAACCCTTTCACTCCCAGGAGTGGCTCAGAAACTGCAGAAGCTTTTTTCTCGTCTCTTGACTGTTAGCTTGAACTTTGTTTATTACGCATACTTCTATGATGTCTTTTGATGTATTAGATGTAGCATTAATCTGTATGAGTAGCTAAACAGTTTCCAGGGGTTATTCTCCTCAACCTATGTTATAGTTGTTTAATGCACTGGTTTTGTTCCTTTTTCTGAAGTTGAAAGTTTTTCTACATTCATTTACTGGATCACTAAATTGAATGCATGCTAGAACTAAGGGAGATCTAGAAATATAAACTTGGTTTGGATTGTTTCAACTTTAACTTATGACATAGAGGTAGCAGTCTATGGTTTTAACTAAGATAGGAATATACTTAGTTAACATAAGCATTCTTGAAGGCCTAAGAACTTAATGACATTGTATCTGGAATCAATCATTGAAAAATAGGTTGTTAAGGTTGCAAAGATGACTCTAGGAAAAATGAGAACTGACTTAGAGTTATTAGTGAGCTGAATGAACAAGAACTCAACCATTACAGTGCTAATAAAACAACTACAACAGTAGGAAGAGGAGAAGAACACCCCTGGCTTTCATTCCCCTGAGTGACTGTTTCCATTCCCCCGAGTGATACCTTGCCTAACTGGTAGTCTTTCCTTACAACAAATTTTGTAATTAGCTGTACTCGTGGGATCGACCTAGCTTTCATTATCTTCAAAAATCATAATCCAAGCTAGTAATATTTTTGGTGAACTCGGCACGCACCAGAAAGTGGCGCCGTTGCCGGGGACGGCGTAAAACCTCCAAAACTTTGTTGTTTTTGTTTGTTTGTACATATATAAAATTCTTCTCTGTTTACCTCACTAAGCTTCCAGTTTCTTTTCTTTGGTGTATGACTAGAAGGCACCAACGGAGTGAACCTGTTTTTGACCCAGAAATTGAAGCTGCCATACGCAGAACCAAAGCAGCAAGAAGAAGGCAGAACCGGTTGCAACAGGACAACCAAGAAGGTTCATCAGAAATGGCTAACCAAGGTGGTAACCCGGAGAACAATAGGAACCCTGGTGGGGATCAACAAAATCAACCAGAGAGACTGCTTAGAGATTTCTTCATCTCACAGCAAGAAGAAGTCCGATCCCCTTTGGTGTTCCCTGATGTAGAAGCAACAAATTTTGAGCTCAAGCCACAGATGATCCAATGGACTCAATCAGCCTGCCCATTCCATGGATTACCTTATCAAGATCCTAATGATCACATCCGAAGTTTCCTGCGTTTATGCAGTACTTTTAAAATTCAAGGCTTATCTAATGATGACATTAGACTGAGGTTATTCCCTTTTACTTTGCAGGATCACGCCCAAGCATGGTTTAATCCATTACCCAACAACTCTATCTCCACTTGGGAAGAGTTAAGACAGTGTTTCCTGACAAAATTCTTTCCACCCGCAAAAGCTGCACAACTCAGAACAGCAATAATGAACTTCAAGGAGCATGGAACAGAAACACTCTATGAAGTATGGGAAAGACTGAAGGAAATGATTAGGAAATGCCCTCAGCATGGTTTGGAAGAGCATCTTCAACTGAGCATCTTCTACAATGGACTGCTACCAACTACAAGAGACTCCCTTGATGCTGCAGCTGGTGGTGTATTTATAATGAAGCCGGTTGATGCAGCAAGGTAGTTGCTTGACAATATGACCACCAACCGTTCAAGATGGCAATCTGATCCAAGGGCAAACAAAACAGCCAGGGATGATGGAACTTGACCCCAGTAAACACCTGCAAGCACAAATGGCTGCTAATGAATGAAATGACTAAACACAGGAGTGAGTTGTCCAAATCCAAGGCTGAAGTGTGTGTATTATGTGATGGATCCCACAGTTTGGATGACTGTCCCTCCAAAATGGAAGCTGTCCAGTTTGTCAGACAGGGCAATGCTGGGGGATTCAACAACTTCCATAATTGGAGAAATCAACAGCAGCCTAACTGGAACAATGCACCACAACAAGGAAACTATCAGAGGCCTGCTCAACCCCCAGGATTTCACAGACAAGATGGTCAACCTCCCAACTATTAGACAGTAGCATTCTAACCAGCAATACATACCAAGGGAAGATGAATGGATTTCTGTGCAAAATGCAATCAAGAATTTGGCGGTGTCTTGCAAAAGTTTGGAGAATCAGTTGGCCCAGATTGCAAAACAAAATGCTGAAAGACCATCTGGAAGCCTGCCTAGTGATACGTTGTAAACTCCAAGGGGAATGACCAAGAGCAAGCAAAGGCTGTCACTCTTAGAAGTGGAAAGCAACTCAATCACCCAAGTGAAAAAGTCACTCCCGTGAGTGACCCTGCAGGTAAGAATGAAACATTTTCTGAGAAAATATCTGATAATGATGATGTGGTTGAACAGGAGCAAACAGCTGAAAAACCTGGAATGGAGGAAATTTAATTCCCAGCACCAATTAAGGAACCACAATAGCCAGCTCCAAATCCACCATAATCGGTAAGACAAAAGAAGGCCAAAATGGATGAAGGGCTCAACAGGTTTATTCAAAACATAGAAAGTATACACATTAATGTACCACTTGTTGATACACTTAAACAAATGCCTAAATACTTCAAGTACTTGAAAGATTTGGTGGCCAATAAATTTTCCACAAGTGCATGACTCTGCTTTTGTCACTCTAAATGAAGAATGTAGTGCAGCTATCCTGAGAAAATTGCCACCTAAGTTGAAAGATCCGGGTAGTTTCACTCTGCCTTGTACAGTAGGAATCAGAGAATTTTCAAAAGCATTATTAGATCTTGGTGCAAGCATAAATCTCATGCCATTGTCTGTATTTAAATCACTTGATTTGGACAAATTTCTGGTACCTACTAACACGACCTTGCAGTTGGCGGATAGGTCACTAACCTACCCAAAGGGAATCTTACATGATGTTCTTGTGAAGGTTGGTAATTTTGTTTACCCAGCAGACTTTGTGGTTTTGGACATGGAAGAAGACAGGGATGTGCCCATCATCTTGGGGAGACCTTTTCTGGCAACAAGTGATGCAATTATTAAGGTGAAAAAGGGAGAAATCACACTGCACTTTGATGGAGAGAAGGTTACCTTCAACATCTTCAAAAATATGAGATATCTTGCTGCAGTCCATAACTGCTACATGGTAAGAAGTGTAGAAGCAGAAGAAGCAGTGACAGAAGAATTACTGCAAGATGATCTCCTCAAAGAACTTTTATGCCCAGACTGTAATGAGGAACAAGAAGGAGGGGATGAGTATAGGGCCACTTGCCTGAGTTACCTGAACCACTCCCCCAAGTGGCATCCTAAACAACAACCCTTTGAACTGATAGTACTCAGTACCCTTTGACTAAGTACTGAGATTGCACAAGGAAGCCATTGGATGGTCAATTGCAGACATCAAGGGCATCAGTCCCTCCATATGTATGCACAAGATCCTACTTGAAGACGATGCCAAGCCAACCATTGAAGGGCAAAGACGGCTCAACCCAGTCATGAAAGAAGTGGTGGAAAAAGAGATTATCAAGCTGCTGGACGCTGGAATCATCTTCCCAATATCTGATAGCAAGTGAGTGAGTCCAGTGCAGTGCGTACCCAAGAAGGGAGGAATCACCGTGGTAAAGAATGACCTCCAGGAGCTGATCCCTACAAGGCTGAACAATTCAT